CCTGATTTCACGCAATTGGAAGAATCGGGACTGTATTCGATTCTTAAGCGTGAAGATTTTGTGATGAAAGAAATCAAGATTTGGGATTATTTGATTCAATGGGGAGTAGCACAGAATCCAGGATTACCTGATTCACTATCTGATTGGTCATCGACCGATTTCGCGTGTTTGAAATCGACAATTGCACATTGTGTCACGTGCATTAGATTTTTTTCAATCTCATCTCAAGATTTTTATCGAAAAATTAGACCTTACGCAGCAGCTGTTGATGTCGCATTGTATGATGAGATTTTGCAATTTCATATTTTGAAAACCTATAATCAATCTACCACGCAAATATTACCAGCAAGGAAAAAACCGGTAATTGAATCAAAAATCTTATCACATGAACAAGCAAAACTTATTTCCAATTGGATTTATCAACATCATAATGATTACTCGGAAAATCAACCTTCTAATAATAATGGTGGTGGTGGTGGTAATAGTAAATTAACATCTTTGTTCTCATCGAATAGCGGTAATAAGAGAAGTAGCATTGATTCAAGAAGATCAATAATTGATGAAAGTGATGGCACAGAAGAAGAAAAAACCAATGGTAATAATAATAGCAATAACAGCAAACTTTATGAAGGTAATTTATTGTTAAGAGGTAGCGTAGACAGTTTCACACCTGGCTCATTTCATGTAAGATGTGACGCGAAAGGGCCAACCATCACAATATTTCGATTATCTGGCGGTGGTAGTGGCAGTGGATCATCGCAAGTAATTTTAGGTGGCTACACTTCAGAAAACTGGTTGTCGTTGAACGAGGCTAAATGGATGAAATGCGACGAGAGTTTTTTATTTTCGTTGAAGGAGAAAGATACGAGATCATTTAAAATTTCACGAATTAAAGAAAATCAAGATGCAATGTATTTGGACAGAAATTCAGGCCCACATTTTAGCGATTTGCATCTATTAAAAAATCCTAATAGTGATAACAAAAAGAATGAGGTGAAATATTCGCAGTTAAAATATAGCAAGTCTATTCACAAAAATGGTACTTTTACAATCGACGAATATGAAGTTTTTCAAGTTGTAAAGAAATATTAATTTTGGATTGTTTAATTTGAGATGTATTTCATCTTTTTATATATATTTTTTTTTATTTCTACTTTATTTTATCAAAAATTCAAACAATGAAGAAATATTTACAAATTAAAAAACTAAACCATGTGTAGTATTAACTTGCAAACAGATTGGTATTATCAAGTGTCCCCGAAAGAGAATTGACACTTTTATTTTAATTATCATATCTTGGCAATGCAAACCCAACACGATCTTGTTCTCGGTCAAAAATAACGTAGACATTTTTCATGAACACTCCCCCGAGAATCCATAGCTATTAAATTATGATATTGCGAGTGGGTTGTAATTTATTCATTGATTAATTGATTGATTAATAAATTAATAAATCATCAACAATCAACAAAGGAATAATAAAATATACTTACATTGCTATCTGTGGATGCTATTCCAGAGAAACAAAAACTAGATGAACTTGATACAGGCTCTCTGACAATATCCCGAGCTGTGTATATATATATAATATAAATTATTATTATTATTATTATTATTGTTCCCTAAACTAACCAACAAATTCAAACCCCCAAAAAAAACTTACGATCAATTGAAAAAGGAGTCTTATTGATCACTATGACAATTTTAAGTGGCCTTTTCTTT